GAGAATATTTATAGTACTTTCCTCAAATTTATTCTGAACTGTTACTTTCCTAAACAGGACCTTAAGATACCCAGCCACAGAACTTATATGTTTCCTTGACCTCAGCTGCAGAAATGGGCCTTTATTTTCTTCAGCCAAGCAGTTTATCAAAAGTGTTTGACCATAGTAAATCTAAGGATGGATTCTTTATCTAAATCAGGCCAATTGTGGGCACTGAGTCTGATTCAAGTTGCTTAAAATTGAACTGTCAGGAAATTCAACCTGTCATTCCTGCTGGTCATGAATGAGGAAGCATGTAGCCTTCAAGGACACTGATAATCATCTTGGAACCACAAATGAAAGAGACTGCCCAAGAATGATTATAAGCTGAGGAAGAAGAACCAAGAAATGGTGAAAGAACTAGGTTCTGGACCAGGACTTTGTCTGAAAATCTAATCTTAGGATTTATGTGAGTCAATGAATTTCCCTTTTCCTTTAATCAGAGGAAACTTTACTTCCATTTACTTATACATTACATAGCAGTTGTATCTTTAAATGAGGTAATTGCAGAAAGAAAGTCAATACACTTAGTTCTTTACTTCTCAGGACTTTATGTGTCTATATGCCTGACTCTCCAACCACTAGATTTTTTTTTGCACATCATTATATCTTTAGCCAAATTAACAAAGCACCCTGTAAGTAGGGAGTAAGTAGTAAGTGCTTAAAATAAGCGTACTTAATTGAATTGGTTAGTAAATCTTGGGGGAATTGTGCAAGAATGGAGTGAATCAGAATAAATTCCTCCTCTCTTCTTTGTCCAAACAGTCAATTTGAATCCATCTGTTGTCACTTGTGAATGTCCCAGGGAAAAAGGAATAAAACAATGCAACTTATGAGTCCAACAGTTCAGTCTGCAAACTAGAAGAGGTTGTAGTATTTTGCTAGGAAGGCTGAAAATTAGCTGTAGTTTTCCAGTTGGCAAAAAACACTAAGAAAACTCCTTTGGTCTATGTTTGCATGATGCTAAGTATCTGAATAAGAATTAAAACGTGAAGTCAACATGCTTCAAAAAATCTATGCATATTACAGCACTTTGAAAAAAATATCCAGTTACTGAACTGAAATTCCCTTGTTTATCCAGGAGTCCAGGTGGCTTAGGTCAACAAAAGCAATGACAATGAGAGTGATAATCTTAGAACTATGTGGCACTGAGTTTCTCAATGAAATCTGTCCTTTATGATTGGAGGAGGGAGAGAGATAGGGAACACTGGCCAATCAACATGAATCATTCGATTACATTTCAAAAAAGAAATAGATGGGTGCTTCTCTTTCTCACCTATTCCCTGTTTTGTTTTGTTTGTTTTTCTACAGCCATACCACTGTCTATCATATAAACATTGTATTTCTTTATATTACACTGATTATTTCTCCATCTCCCATAATGAAAGCTCTAGGAGGACAATTATCTGTCTCTGTTTTTGTTCACTGCTCCATTCTCAGTACCTAAAATAGAATCTGGCACAGAATAAATGCTAAAAAAACATTTATTGAGCAAACAAATGGCCTGTAAAATGGACATTTGCTAATAAATTCACAAATAAGAAACTAACTGCCTTGTGAAAAAAGTAAGGATTTCTTTCAAATGAAATTAAAAGACTCTGTACCTTAATAGTTCAACTAGTCTGTATGACTATAAACAATTTGTTTAACAACCTACACTTTTTTATTTCCTTTTGGAAAATGAAGACAACTCTGCCAATCCTGTACTCTCCAAAACTTCAAAGTACTTCAGAAGAGGCAATAGCTGTAAAGTCTTAGGTTAAAGAATCAGTAATGGAGCTCAGTATGAATGGTTTTCCATAAAAGTTAAATGAAGACCTCAGTTGTCCTTTTATGTATTAAATAGAAAAATTTCCATTTGTAAGGTTTTTTTGTCATATGCCTATGAGCAATGGTGTATCAATCACTTTTATATTCCTATTGCTCTGAAAATTTTGTTTTTATAAATTTTAACTAAGCATTTGTAAGCAAAACTGCCATTTCCAAAACTTCAAATTTGTTTATAAGGCCAATTGTTTTAAAGATGAAAAAAGGTTTACTCCACAAATCAAACCTGATATTTATTTAAACTTACAAAATGGTATTTCTCCAGAGTAATCACCCTTCCCTGCATTATGTTAATAGCAAAACTCTTTTTTTTTTTTGTAGAAATTCTACTTTTTCTCTTCTCATTTCCCCCCTTCAAGCTGAATTCTGTTTTTCAGGATGTTTCCTTCCAATCTTTAAAAAGAGACCCTGTACCTTTAATAACAGAGACCTGGTGAGAGGTTTCTTTCCAAACTTGTTCCCTGGGTTCCAAGTGATGAAACCAGCTGTAATTTGAGAGCCCAGAAATCCTTAGGATATCTTTAGCCAAAGGAAAAGCTCCCTCCGTATTTCCACCCAGTTCAGAAGATGAAAGTGTCAGAAAGCAAGAGCTTCTCTCTCTAGCTACACTGCTCCATCTCCCAGGAGCAAGGGGCAAAGGAGCCACTGACCTGCAGCGATCTGCAGGCGGCCTTCTCCCCTCCGCACTGTGATCCCATAAGAGAGTGGTAGCTTCAGCCACTGAGCAAACACAGAGTGAGGTGCACCCTGCGCTGTTGCAGGGCAGTGCTACACAGGCGCTGTCGCCCACAGCCACATGAAGCCTGCTGGGGTGCAGGGGCCACGGTGCAGCAAGCCGACGGGGACTGAGGAGGACACTGTCTCAGGAAGGCACTGACTCCCAAGAGGACCCCTTTCATTGTTCCTGGACAAAAGAGTCTTCTCCTGGGATCCCTGGTCTTCCTGAATATTCAGAATGATGGTCCCGAAGTTCCTCTGGATGGGTTTCCTCTGCCACCTGTGTCAGGGCTACTTTGACAGTCCTCTCTACCCAGAAATGTCCAATGGGACTCTGCACCACTACTTTGTGCCTGATGGGGACTATGAGGAGAACAATGACCCCGAGAAGTGTCAGCTGATTTTCAGGGTGAGTGACCGTCGGCGCTGCTCCCAAGGGGAAGGGACCCAGGCCAGTACCTTGATGAGTCTCACCCTTAGAGAGGAGTTCACCGTGCTGGGCCGCCAGGTAGAGGATGCTGGGCAAGTCTTGGAGGGCATCAGCATGAGCATTTGCTACGACCTGGATGGGGAAGAGAGTTATGGCAAATACCTGAGGCAGGAGTCCCACCAGATCAGGGATGCCTACTCCAACTCTGACAAGTCCCTCACTGAGCTGGAAAACAAATTCAAGCAGGGCCAGAAACAGGATAGCCAGTAGGATGCTGGTCCACACCAAGTCCCTGCTGAAAGAAATTCTGGACATCTCCACAGAGCTTAGGGAAAAATCCGAGCTGCTGTCCCTCACCACCAGGAGCCACAGGACTGGGCTAAGTTAGCTGAAAAACGATTATCTTAAAGTATGAGGTGGAAGGGCACAAATGCCAGAGAGAGCAATCAAATAAGCTCTGTAGTGGAGGGTAGGGGATAGATGAGGGGGCTAAATATTTCCTTACTCTTATAATATTTTGTATCCAGATTTACACTTTGAGAATGAATCTGAAATCATCTTTAAAAAAGAAAGAAAGAGTTGAAAGGTGAAGTGGTTGTTTTAATTCTGTACATTGTTTATGTGATTGTTACAGATTTATCTATCCGTGGGAAAAAATGATTTAAAGCAATGCCCCCTCTTTCCTAGTGATCTTAAAAATAACTCTGCAGAGATATTTGTTTCAGCCACATCTGAAAGGAAATAGGCTATGCAGTAGAGACTGATTAAACTTACCCTTCCTGGAGATTATGGGATATACCCAAGGACCATAGTGCCAAGCTCCTTTCACCTTCAGCTTTCTCTCTTGGGCTCTAAAAACAATGTGACTGTTTTTCAAATGAGGTCCAAGGTGTTGCTTTCTATGCCTGCCAGTCCGTGGAAGTTGCTTGCTTCTTCTGCTTTTCTCTCTTATTTATTAACCATGGTCTGTGACTTGTTTTTGTTTTTGCTTTTTTTTTTTTGTAAGCATATTGTTGGGAAACTCTGTGCAAATCATCCTTTATAGGAAGATTTGCAAGTTTCCTCTGTGGGTGTATGTAAGTTTCAGCAGCAACATTGAAGAAGTCTCTGCTTTGTGGTAGTTGCCCTCTCATGTTGATATGCTGATTTGTAATGTCTCATTGTGTGTCTATGCTTTGTCATCAGTGCAAGAGTCAATTACAAAAAAAGTAGTTTGAATACTCCACGCAGAAGCCTATGATTGAAGTTGTCAATGTATTTTTTTCCTCATTCAGGGGTTTTGCTTCTTTTTGCTGATTAGAAACTTGTACTTCAAGGAGGGGGATATTAGAATTCTAATAACTCCTTTGCTAAGTTTTATTATTCAGCCAATAAATGTGTTTTCACATAATAGTGGCTTATCTTCTAATTTATATCTGTAGATTTCATATTTCAAAGAGAGGCCCATGCAAAGGAGAGAGGACAGAATTTAAGCCAGTTTACTTAGCGTGTATGATAAAGAAGGAAAGAGAGCTATGCATTTAACAATCCCACCCCCCGCCGCTAACCCTTACTATCCTTGTGAGGAAAAAAAAAACTAGCTAGTGCCAGAACTTTGAATTTAATCTCTGCCACTCTACTTAAAAACTCATTTTCTGGTGAGAGAAGCGAGATTTATTCCTACGAACTGGGCCATGCTGCTTATGGCAGCACTGGAGAGGGGGTGCTGAGCTGTTGGGTATGAAGTGTAACAGAACAGACTTTACCACCTGAAACCGCTGCTTCAAGTTCAGATCAAGCAAGGAAAAAACCTCATAACAATAAACAAGAACAAAGAAGAGTACACTTAAGGTGAAGACACAACACTTGATCTAAAACAAGAAGTTTGTGCCTACTCAACAGCTTTGAAAGAGCACTTCCCAATGCTGCTAGTAGTCTTTGTTTTCTTCAGTGCTATACTGTGAGATGCCCAGTGCAGCAGCAGTTGTATTCTTTATTAGTTTGGTAGGTCATTTTCTCTAGCTCTTTTTTTTTAATACTAGCAACTTTCAACCTGTGAAACGTGTGCTGAAAAAGAAGAATCAGCAAATACTACTGAAAGTGCAATATTTGATTATCACTGCAAGATGAGCTTTGATACAAACCTTCTCCACAACAATGGACACAATTGGTACCCTGTAAAGGATGATAGAAAAGCTCCATAAACTCAACAAGCCAAAACAACCATTTACCTGTCCGAAATTTATTAGCAGGACCATAGTGGCCAGGCGCAGTAGAGAAGGGAGTCAAAAGAGAGACAAGAGAGGGGGGAGAGAGAGAGGAGAGGGGGGAGAGAGAG